TATATGTATATATATGTATGTATATATAATATATATATATATATATATATATATATATATATATATATATATATATATATATATATATATATACATTTCATATGTGCAGCTACATAGAAAACAATCATTACAGGGGTGTCATAACATTTAGCAATGAACAGAATCTTATGTTATGGAAGGGTTTGGTATTTTGAATTTTGAATGTCTCAAATAGTCGTTCCAGAATTTTATCCGGATTCCTGCGAGATTGTTATTTTATTCCCGTAAGGGATGAAATATGTTCTGCAATATTCAGAGAAGCCACACATACCCATAAGTAGTTGGAAAATCAGGGATACGAGCAGTTTCATGATGTCAATAACTATATATCAAAAAATATTGTAAGAATGTTTAGCAGAATTTTCTGATGATATTTTACTGTGTAGCTGTACATACATTATATATATATATATATATATATATATATATATATATATATATATATATATATATATTATATATGTGTGTGTGTGTGTGTGTGTGTGTGTTGTGTGTGTGTGTGTGTGTGTATCTGTGTGTGTGTATCTGTGTATGTGCTTGTGTGTGTTGTGTGTGTGTGTGTGTGTGTGTGTGTGTGTGTGTGTGTGTGTGTGTGTGTGTGTGTGTGTGTGTGTGTGTGTGTGTATGTGTGTGGTGTGTGTGTATGTGTGTGTATGTGTGTGTATGTGTGTGTATGTGTGTGTATGTGTGTGTATGTGTGTGTGTGTGTGTGTGTGTGTGTGTGTGTGTGTGTGTGTGGTGTGTGTGTGTGTGTGTGTGTGTGTGTGTGTGTGTGTGTGTGTGTTTCATGTGTGTGTGTGTGTGTGTTTCATGTGTGTGTCTGCATGCGTATGTTAGTGCATCTGTGGGTGTGTGTGCATACATCTGTGTGTGTGTGCGTGTCTGTGTGTGTGTGTGAGTGCGTCGTGTGTGTACTTACGTCTGTGTGTGTGCACGTGAGTATATGTGTGGTCATGTGTGTTTTGTTCTTTTATTTTTTTTTCAATTTCATCTTTAATAAAAATGAAACATGTATTTGCAAATATAATTACCAGACCGATAAAAACAGAAAAAATCAAAGCCAACTTGTAAGAACATAAAAGTAGTAAAGCATTAGCAGAAGGTATGGTTGAAAAATTAACTACGACTGAAGCAGTAAGAAAAATAATTAAAGTCATAGTAGTAGTAAGAGCATGGTAATCATAATAGTTATAGCAGTATGGCTGCTAGTACTAGAAACAAGTAAAGGCAAAAGATCTCTTTTTATCATTATTATTACAAGATGTTCACTAAAGGTATTATCATAATTATCACTAATATCATTATCATTATCATCTGGAGTTACATTATCATTATTCAATCATTATATCATAATCATTTCTTCAATTACATAATAAAAATCATTATTCCTATAATCTTCTTATCTTGTATATTCTTACAATGTTTGGCAAATACTGTCATCATCATATAGTAGTTGTATTAATATCAAATAAGTAAAACACCATATAACAATAAAAACAGTAATAGCACAATAATAAAATAGAAGAAAAGAATATATAATCCACATCCATGACCAGTAATAATAATAATAAATAAATAAAATAAAACCACATTCAGAAAAAAAAAAAAAAAAAAAAAAAAAAATCTGTCACTCCAATAGCTCAAGCACTTTTTGTTTTTACCAAAATGATACTGGTCAGTAATAAAAAAGAAAAGAGGAAAAGAAGACAACAAAGAAGAGGAAGAAGAAGAAGAAGAAAAAAAAAAAACTTCCCAATGAAATGGACCACAGACAAAATATCAACACACTGCACTGACAACACTTCAGTATATCATACAGTTTCTTATTGGTAAATCGATTTCTACAGATTTTGTAGCAATTGTTTGTCTTTTCATAATCTGTTTCTTCAGATTTTTCAGTACGTCTTTTTTTCCACTAAGATTCCAGTACCTCTTTCCTTACTTTTAATTCCCTCTAATTTTTGGCACGACAAAATCACTACAACTATCATCATAAACTAATAAAAACACAAGATACCTTTCCACCATAATGATGTTATAGTGAAACCTCTTCAATAGATTCTCTTTTCTTAAAAAGAAAGAAAGAAAATATAGAAAAAGAAAAAGATAAAAAAGTATCATCATATTTTGTTGAAATAAACATAAAAAGTGAATGAAAGTTACATATCCATAAATGATCTTTTCCAAATCTCCATTCTGTTGATGTTTTACATAACATATCTACTTATGTACATTTATTAGAATGTCCTTATCATCAACTTGTAATAAGTATAAAGAATAGTACAAAATTGCAATGTCTTGCTAAATAGTGGTTTCCACTTTCTGTGAACCTAATATCTAAACTATACAAAAATTGCAATCATGGTCATTATTATTACCATCATCAAAGTGAAGGTGCATTTAAGATGGTGATTACAGGCTGAATGCAGCCACTCCGAATAACATCATGGTACTGTACTTAAAATAATTATCATCAACCTTGATAAGTTTTGGCATAAGTCAGAGGATTTTTTAAACCTTCTGTGATATATCCTTAATGCATGTATAGGTGAAATAAATAACCTCAATTAATGTTTTGCAATTTTCTAACAGACTAACCCTCTCCTTGTCAAGGAAATTGTCTGAAAGCCATCCCCCCAGTAATCTCCTCTTGTCATGGATATTGTCATATAGCCAACTCCTTGTGATATGGCCCATGTTTTACTGCAAAACTATTCCTCTATAAAACTTCACTGAATTGTACTATCTAAATATATATTACGAGAATTACTTAAAAAGAATGTACAATTACTACTGTATTCCTTAAAAATTTTGGCATGCCAAGATGAACCATATTCGAATTGTCAATGAATCTGACCTTATTTGACAGACTGGGAGGCCCAATTATGGGGATATATATCATACTCTGTTGTCAATATATCTAAACACCTATTAGGAGTGTCATATAAAAAGAGTACAATTACTACAGCATTCCTTACTGATTTTGGTATCTCAAGATAGACTATATCAGAACTGTCAATGAACCTGACCTTATTTGACAAATTGAGACTGATGAGTGTACCAGAACATGGACAGCAAATTTACATAAATGACAAAATTCAAATACATGACGATAACTAAACGTTGTTGAAACTTTTATTGAAGCTAACATTCAAGAGGAAATACACAATAATTCTATGCACTTCCAGTGATTTTAAGACATTGATATTTCATTAAAAAAGAAGAAAAAAATTATGCAACAAATGCCATGCATTCATTATTACAGTCACACACACACACACACCCATCCATAGTCTCACTCAAAATGTGTGTGAGATTATGTAGCCACAAACAGTCCATCTTGTAATGTTCCTCTTTACTCATACTCCTCTTGTTTTGTCAGCTTCTCTACCTCTTTATTTTGTTTGTCTGTTTGCTTATTTGCTTGTACCTATCAACTCTTTTACCCATCTGACTCTATTTTGTATCTATAAATCTGTCAGTCTAGTCTACCTTTTCTGTCAGTCTGCATGTTTATCTCTCCGTCTGTCTGTATGTCTGTATATCTACAGCGCATGCATCTCCAAAAGGCTCAACAAATCTTACACCCTACAGTAAATACCATATTCTATCACTGTGCATAAATCTTTTCTTTGCATAAAAATTCACCATGTTACTGTTTATTGTGTTATGAAAATAAAATAAATCAAGAAAAATAATGTGGGACATTCTGATCAAATATCAAATGATGTAATGTAAGTGACCTTAACAGTGAAATCAACATTAACCCAATATCGATAGGAGTCTCAATGGTGAGATGGCCAGAAAATGACAGTAACTGGCTGTCTCATAAGCGAAACACTTGTGATGTCAGCTTACACCAGCGGGAACTTGCTACAATAGGTACCATCCGTCAATAACGTGCTACAATAGGTACCATCGGTCAATAACGGTGTTTTTCACTCCAAACAATCCATGGGTGGGTTAAGATTTTAGAACAGTAACCAGCATCATTTCCAAGCTAATCTTCAGTATATCTCTACTCTGGGGATATAGAATTACTCTAAATTCACCAATGCTATATGAAACATCTTTTACAACATAATCTTGAGAAGCCCAGAGATTTATGCTGAAGCAAGAGAAGTAGCAATGCCCAGTTTTATCAAAAAGGACAAAAGAAGAAACTCAAAAATGTGATAATGGTAAACTGAACAACTCTTACAATTTTTTTTAACCAAAAATACAAGCTTAAAGGTAAGACTTTAAAAAAAGCTGACTTTAAATTCCCCCAAATTAGCCATATTATTATAATAGATTTATGCCATCATTTCCTTAGAGGATAACCAAATTTTAAAAACAAAAATAATACCACAAACTCCAATATTAACCCCTTGGATCCAGATGATGTGTGCAGCATATCGAGAAACTTTGGCTGAGTGGCGGGAGAAGCGAACATGCCATCATGGAAAAATTTGGCTGAGGGCCAGGGAGACAGGAATTTGCCGACAAGAGAATTTCGGCTGAAGGCTGGGGTGATAGGAATAACTCAACACAAAAGCACAAAGCTCTTGGATGATTTGACTTGGTTTCCATTTAGGAAAGGGCTCTTGCATTACTCTTATCAGTATACAAGTAAGCCATAACTGGAAGAGCACCGGCTTCAGGGAGGACAGTTATTTCCATGCTCAAGATCCTATTCCTGCTCATCATAACCAGTGGTGTAGGTTGCATTACAAAAAATTTGATACTTTGAGAAAAAAAGCAAATAATAAAATGTTACTTACTGTGATTATAAGTTATGGACTATCTAGAGAGATGATATGGAGCCTGTCCAAGGAAAACAGTCTGTTACCATGCAGATAAAGGAAATCAAATGACAAAAATAGACACAGGAGAATGGCAAAAAACAAAAAACGCTTACACAGAAAAGAGATCATAACATCACAAAGCGGAGGCAAGCAGGCTTGATATCATACGAGTGTTCATGTGCACCCGGCATACAAGCCAAACACCCATAAGAGCAGCCACTCAAGTAAGTCTAATGTCCAGAATTTGGGCCAGTTGTGGGCAGCAAAGCACCTGAATCCAAGGGTAATAAACATGATTTTAACTTTTTGGGGACATTTTCCTAAGAAGCCAATTTCCTTGAACCCATTACCGCCAGTATATTTTGAAGCCGAAAATAAAAGATTCTGGGTGGCTACAAAATTGGCGGGCGGAGCTGGCCCAGACTCTGCCCACGCACTGGCCGTAGCCCACTGCTGCGTGGGAGTGCAAGCCCCGATACAGCATCACACTGGCGGGACGCCCGGCAATGTTTATTTTTTCGGGTGTCTCATATATGGGACACCCGTCGTTATTGGGTTAAATGGAACTTATACAACAGAACAACAAAATCGTTCAATTTTTCAAATGCAATATCATTATATTAAAAAGCAAAAGGCTAGAAATAACTACCTTATATGAAAATCAAGTAAAAGCCTATATCAAAATAGTTTCAGTGATTTCACTTGTACTTAACATCTATTTAGATTTTGTGAAGAAGAAGAAGAAGAAGAAGAAGGTTATATTTCAAAAACTTGAAGGCAAAATTTTTCACTGAAAAGCAACTGAAATTCTATTAGTAAAAGTAACTTATTTCTACAATTCATGGTCTGACTTTCATCAACTCTTAAAGTACCATGCCTCTAAAATACAAATGATGGAATGGAAGACCAACCTATAATCTGTCAGAAAATTCAAAAGAAAATACAAAAGAAGAAGCAGAAAAGAAAGAAAGAAAAAAAAAAGTCATATTCAAGGTAAAAAGAGGAAAGGAAAGGAAAAAAAATAAAGTTAATAAATGTTTCCTCATATCTAACTAAGAATTAAATATTACCTTGTGTCATATCTTTCTAGTATCCGAGGTGTAGTAACAATCAAAGGTACTCACACTAACCCGTTCATTCATCCACCATACACATATCTATTGGTCCAAGTATGGTGAGTATCCTTGCATCCGTAAACTGACTCATTCGTTTTCAATTCTCTCCTATCATTCTCATAAAACTTGGAAGTTCAATGATCTTTTTCTTTTCAAAATTTATATAAAACAGGAAAGTGTGACAAATACATATTGTTGAAGAGGTTTAACTATAGTAAATTGCAAACCAACATCCAGTATAGAAAATCAAGGATATCAGTATTCCAAATCTTTAGTAACTCAAAAGGTACCTTATGCATAAAGAAACACAAGATCTTCCAGAAGTAAACCCTTTCATTGTTTAAAATCTTTAAGCATTCATATTTAAATGCCTTGAAAAATAGATGGAATATATCTTATAAATGTAGCACAAATTGTATAGCAAGTAACTTTCCCAATTCATTAAAATCATAATCAGGGTTCAGTTATGAAAGATCCTTTTGAAGAATTTTACACACTCACCATTTGTGAACCTTGGTTTCCTGAAAATCCTTCAAATGGTATTCCAAGTAAATTTCTGTCTCCTTCCCAAGTTTTCTGAAAATTTAAAGAAGAAAGAAGTGAGACTAAAACTTTGCCAAAGGTAAAATTAAATGCCTTTCCTTGCCAATTAAGGAATACCCATTTATCTACCTTTGAAGAACTTTACCCTAATACAGAATGATAGCCTGAGAAAAGTGAACTTAACCTACAAATAAAATGGGATTCAATATTTTCTTCCCGTAACCTGTTAGCTTCAACTGTTTACTTGGTAATTAGCAAGGCTATTACTATTCATCAAAGAAAAATTAATTCAGAGTTTGCAGTCATGATGTCTCTGGAAGTTTTCATGTGATTGGTTGCTGTTGGTTAGTGTAGCTACCTAATGCTGAGGATCTACTGTATATAAGGTGATGATTGGTCTGTATGTATTTGTTGGCAATTCAACTCACTTGTAGGCAATCATCTATTGCACTAATAGTAGATTTTTGCCGAAATATTGGTTATAAAGTAATGGTAGCTTTTCACAAATATTGCAATTTTATAGTGAAGTGGATGAGCCCAATTTCATGGTGAAAACCAATGCCTCTCTGCTAATAATAAAACAACAATCAAAATATGAGAAAATTATCAGCCATATTATGATTATGTCCATAAATACTTGGTAACATTATCCAAGTAGACAGGTCAGAATGTGAGTGTGAATGAGTGATTGCATGTGCATGTGTTGGTATTTAAGTCTGGCTGTTAGTGCTTCAGTTCACAGGTTTGTTAGATGCCAAACTGTCTGTCATGTTCAGTGGGTTAAACTCAAGTGCTTAATAACAATATTAAAACAAGTATAAACAAAACCAACAGAAAAGAAATATTTTCTACCATCTAGTAAAAGTTAACAGAATTACTCATAAACTGAGCAACTCACCCCTTGCAGACCAGAAGCTCCTGGAAGAGCCTGAGCCACAAGATCCTCCATTGTCTGAGGTTGGCTGGAGGATCGCAGGCCCTGGGGATTAAAGCCTGCACCCCCAACCTCTCTCCCTATACTCCCCGAGTGCTCACTATGAACAGGGTAACTCAGTCCAGCTTCGGAGTCTGTTGACTTTATGGATTCTTTGGTCTCGTCTGCTTCAGAGTAATCATCGTGTGGTTCTTCCTTGACTAGGGGTTCATCCATTATCAACTGTAAAATGGTGTATACCAGTATAAATATTAGTAATGGCATCTAATATATGGAATAGATGTTTTGGTAAAATATCTTTAAAGTTTTATGTTGTTTGTCATCAGAAGTATGTACTGCAGTGCAAAACAATGCAATATAGTCACAAAGTATATTACCTCAGACTCTCCTGCACCGCTGATTTCATTGTCTGAATTGGAGGGAGGCGGGGCAGAGTCCGCTTGAGCACTTGGAGCTGGTTCGTGGGTTGTCGTGTGAGAAACATCCGGTGATGAGGTTGGGCCTGTGGCACTTGGCAACTGAGTATCTGGACTGGAAGGATATAGAACTGGGCTGGGACTTGAGCGTAGGCGGAGAGGCTCTCGGGATCTCTGTGGTTCTCTGAATGGTTCTCGAAAGCTTAACTGAGGTCTTGGGGGGAGCTCCCTTCCTAATTTCTCTACTGTGTTTTGACTGGGTTTCTGCAGCACAGGTTCCTCAGGTTTTCTACGTTTGGCATCGGGTCCCTCACTGGACCATGGCACATTTCTTTTGCCATCCTGGCTGGCGTCACGTTCACTAGGGGCTTCATCAGGGACAGCCAACCCCTTTATCCTTAGGCACTCAGCAGCTTTTGATAAGTCCTGATAGGTCTGTCTGTAACACATTCACTTCACCAACATACATGTAGTTCAAAAGAGCCTCAAGGTCCTCATGTCTAATATCTTTCAACACTATTATGGGGTGTTTACAGTTTGTCTTTTCAAACATTTGTTCAAAATAATCACTACATGTTGACAAAACCAGTTTGTGTACTGGATAAAATTTTCCATCACAGGCTAAGGTAACATCACAATAGGACTCCTGAAATGAATGAACAATGAATGGATATTAATCTCATGTAGCTCAACATTTCCACTGCCCACTCTTAATCAACTGCTCTCAGGCCAGCTAAATCACAAAAAGTCTAAACTTCAATGTTTGTACTTAAACAAAGAGTGTAGACAACCACACTTATCTATGTTATAATTCCATTTACACGTCCTACAAAAGTATCCAGCAACCACAGCATAAATTCTGTATGACATAAAAGCTATAAGCCATAGTCTAACAAAGATGACAGACATATATGCTATCAGGAGGTAGAGGGTTAAAATCAATATAAAATAATAAATCAGATATCATATTCTAAAAAGGTTAAAGTTACCGAGAGCAAAACACAGATAGAGGGCAATGAAAACTGCAACTTAAAGAGCATATGGAACAGTCATAAATAACACAGGTACAGCTGTTGTGGCCTTATATTTACTGCTAAATAACAAAATATCTGCTGCACATCTCTGCTCAGAGAGTAAGCCCACAACATCTTTACACAGCCCGAGTTCTTAATGTCGTGTTTTCTATAAGTCGATACGAAATGCTAATAAAGGAGGGTTAAGAGGGGTTCACCCCATCTAAGGAAATAGAAGCTAGCAAATATAAGGTTCGGATTGCTGGGTTCACATGGTTTTGGGGCTTAAGATGAATCGCTCTATGTAACAAATACCTCTAAAAAATCTATAAAAAATATAGAAAACAATGTAAACAGAAAGCTAAGAACCTTCTACATGTGTGGCATTGCTCTGATGATATTGACAAAAGGAAGAGATAATCTACAAAATATGCAGCCACAATATAAATACAAACCTTTCTCTAACTGTGGAGAGCACATAGAAGAACGTGGAGCGGTGGTTGTTCCACTTCAGTGACAACAAGCCCATCCATGGCCAGTCCACTTCACCTGAAGTTTAGCCCTACTGAAGAAATAAATGTAAATATCAATCATTGAGGAAATACACAAACATATCATGTATCAACAAAAATCTGGTAGCCTTAACAGTACAGACATAATAAGCTCAGACAAACTGAAGATATTACTCTTGTAGAAAGTTGTGTTGCTGGTACAAGAAACAATTTGCAGATTTGAACAGTAACACCACAAATAAATTTTGTTGTGCAACAATGCTTTCCAGAGGGTGTTGGGGCCAGAGCCTCCCATTAACCCTCCCCTGGCAAGTGTCTGATGAGCACGCCTATTCACTGCAATTTAGATTGTTGAATAAAGTTTATAAAATAGACGGTGTCTCTGGCAAGTGCGTCTGTACTGTAAAGGATTACCAAAATCTAAAACCTGTGAATACAATATTCTTAATATGGAAAAAGTTAAGTTAGCTTATAAACTCCTTAAAAATAACTTGCAGTGATTCAATGGGTAGCCACGGCATTGGCACCTTCATTACTCCAGCGAAGACTAACAAAACTCCAGTCCAAATATTTTGGCAAGATGGTATTTGTTGGTCTCCTGACAATTTACTGTTAAATAAGTTAGGTTAGGTTTGTACTCATCGCCCAGAACTAATGTTTAAATGCACGTGTTCAAAAGTGTGCCATACGCCTAACTGTGGCTGCTGTACTCGGAACCTCGGCCAATTTAGAATTATACCTCAATTGCTCTCTCTGAAATATTGTAACCCAATTCATAATTCTAAAATAAAACATACAATTCTTACGATTACAAAGAACAATGCGTAACTATAAAACACACAAAAAATCAATTCATGATAATATAAAATCTGTATAAAATGCCATCAAACCTGATTTTTCCAACTAAAAAAGATTATGCCAAAAAGGCCGTCTTTTTTGTCGCTCCATTAACACACATACAATAAAACGACCAAACAAACGCACTACATGAAACTAATCATGAACAGCAAGAGACATTTAACCTTTTTTTCGAAATACACAATGCAAGAGAGTCTGCCAAGACCAGGAACCTCACTCTTGAGACCCTTATTTCTTGCTATCTAAGCCGCTTCCTTCTCTAATTCTGCGCTCAACTAAGTATCTCCTATTCACTACGTCCTCAAAATGTGAATTATGTTAATACTCTCATATCTGTCGCTTACCTGAAACGTTTCTTAATTATTCCCTTTAAACGATTTTTCGGGGCTTGTCCTTCATTTTGTTTATTACCATCGAATATCCAGGTTGTGTTATGTCATTTAATGCACTGTATTATATCATAGATCCACCAATGAGTTTAAGTATTATTCACATATTGTAAATGATTGTAGATCATATTGTGAGACCTTTAAAGAAGGAGAGAAGAGAAATGACCTAGTAAACATTAATATTCTCTCCGTTACAGAACCTGGATCTAGAGAAATATCTTACAAAGAGGGTGCGCTCAAACATTTGCAGTTAATTAGTAAATCTTATAATTATTGCAATTTTACATGTTGCATTTCACACTCACTGATTTGCTGTTTTATGATGGGCGTAGCAGGTCTAGCAGATTATTGCTAAATATGCAATGACCAATGAGGCATACATTTCAACAATAAATACATTGAAATGGCAAATTTGATGAATTGAACATCTTTATCTAAAGTTTTGTGTTTTTTTTTATTTGAAGGGTATTTGATACTTTCGCTCTTTTGATAGAAAAGAATGTAATGTATTATTTTGTAAATTGTATGAAAATGGCAAAATTGCAGGAATGGCATCTGCTTGCAGGACTGAAGAGGCGTCGCCTACTATTATATTTTCATTACGCTTGTCAAATACTATTATTTTCGGTTCCCTGTCTATTCTAATTTCTTACCTTTCTGTGTGTGTGTGTGATAAAGAGGGGGAGACTGAGAGAGGGAGAGGGGCGAGTGGCATTTCACTACCCAAAATAGCGTACGAGATTTCCGGGATTTCCGAAATCCCGAAAAAAAACTTGAAGGGATTTCCGGATTTCCAGACAGATTTGTCAGGGATTTCCGGATTTTCGAAGGATTTTCTAGGGTTTTTCAAACTTCTCAATGGCGCTTTAATACATTAAATCTTCGTCAATGTATATAAAACTAAGCTGTTATCAGTTACTACCTTACAGGAACCACATGAAATACACTATTTTACCATAAATCATGACTGATTAAGGTTATTGTAACCCTTCAGACAAAAAAAAAGAAAAAAAAATCGATTTTTATTTTCGTCATAATCTGGTAGATTAACCTCGAGATCAACCATTTGAGTATCGTTTAAACCAACTCGCTTCCAGAAATAGCGAGTTACTTGGAAACGATCATTTTAAAAGGAGCAATCCTTTCTCTAGAAAAAAAAAAACCCTGCGGGATATACATTAGGAAATTAAAGTAAACCCACCTGACCTTGTAGCTACATCTAAAACATCCTGTGCTGCTATTTCATTGATATACTGCTGAACCAAGACCGCGCTTAAGCTTTATTGCTTGACTTCTTCGTAATCGTTCCTCCGGTTATTTTGCTTCAGTTTGATAAAAGCCTGATTTCCCAAAGAGATTCCGTAAACATCTCTCTCTCTCTCTCTCTCTCTCCTCTCTCTCTCTCTCCTCTCCTCTTTCTCTCTCCTCTCTCTCTCTCTCTCTTTCTCCTCTCTCTCTCTCTCTCTTCTCCTTCCTCTCTCTCTCTTTCTCTCTTCTTCTCTCTTCTCTCGTCTCTCTCTTCTCTCTCTCTCTCTCTCTTCTTCTCTCTCTCTCTCTCTCTCTCTCTCTCTCTCTCTCTCTCTCTCTCTCTCTCTCTCCTTCCTCTCCCTTTCCCTCCCTCTCTCTCTCCCTCCCCCCCCCTCTCTCTCTCTCCCTCCTCCCCTCTCTCTCGGAGTTCAAAAGAAGCCGCAACGGTTGACTTGAGTAATGTAGGTGGTCCTTCTTTTTTTTCCTTTTCTTTTCTCCTTCTTTCGCTGTATCATTCCGTCTTTCAATCTTCCCCACCGTCTCTTTCTCTCTTTCTTCTCCTCTCTGCACACACACACACACACACACACACACACACACACACACACACACACACACACACACACCACACACACACACACACACACACACACACACACCACACACACACACACTCAAATAGATATTTCCGGTTAACTGATTTTATTGCTAGTTGGGGAGGGGTGAAGGGTGAAGGGGGGGGGGAGTCAAAGGGAAAGGTTAAACGAGAAGAAATGGAGTAGAAAAGAGGGAAAAGGTAGGAAATTGACAAAGAAAAGGGAAAGAATTGAGAAAGGGTTGGATGGGAATGGAGGGAAAGGGGAATTGGGAATGAGTGGAAAGAGAGGATAAATACGAAAGGAAAAGGAAGAGGAACGAAGAAACTTAGAGGGAGAAACAGGTGGAAAGAATTAAATGTTGAAAATACAAAAATGGAGAGAAAGAATTCTGAGGAGATAAAGAAAGTAGAGAAAAAAGAAAATGGAAAAGAGCAGATGTAAGTAAATGAGGAAGAGAAAAAAGGCATAAAAAGAGAGTGAGAAAGGGGCGAAGGATAGGCGGGGGGGGGGGGGGGAGACAGTAAACATAAAGCGATAGCGAAGGTAGTGACTAAGATTAAATGTATTCTTTTCTTTATTGTTTTTCATTTCCTGGCAGCTTATCTGTGCCTGGTTACACACACACACACAAACACACACACACCATACACACACACACAAACACACACACACTACCACACACATAAACACCACAATACACACACACACAACACACACACACAAACGCACACACACACAAACGCACACACACACACACACACACACATATACACAACAAACACACCAACACACACCAAACGCACACACACACACACACACACACACACAACACGCACACACACACACACACACAAACACCACACACACACACCACACGCGCGCATGAAATGTAGATACATACACACAAACAGATACGGGACAGATAGCTAGACGTATCAAGGATTTAAGCCATATGATAGACAGGCAAGGAATGATTTTTCACTGAAAATTGGGCATTTAATTAATCGCCATTGTTAAAAGTGTCACCGGTGAAAGTAATGTTAAGGGCGTCGATAAAACTAAGACGATTTTTCTTCAGATCTCTTGGTTGATAGGCCTATCCCACTCTCCATTTTAAATCAGTCTGGCTTTTTTTATAAGTGGTTTTGTATCTGCTTTTGCTTTTTTTTTTTATCAAAGTTTTAATTGATCGTGAGAGTTTGTTAGCTTGTCTCTCGTTTTCTGTTTACCTTTCTTTTCATCTGAAATAATTCCATATGGTCTTAAATACAGACACAATGAGCGTATATTTGGTGACGTTACAGAACTTTGCAAATATGTCAGAAGATTACATATCATTATGTTCATTATACGAGAAACGGTTTCTTAAAGTTAACGACGGTGATAAAGATGTAGATAGACAGACTAAGAGAGAGAGAAAACAAGAGACAAGCAAAAAAAAAAAAAAGTCTCGATAATGGTCAACAGAGTAAAAGTATAAGAAGCAATGTCACTTTCGACACAGATCGTCGCCATTTCCATTCCCATTGCCAGTTCAAAATATGTGGGGTTGGTAAGGGCATTATATCCAAGGGGCACACCGCTCTCTCCCTCTCCGCTCCCTCCCTGCGGATCTATCGTATTAATTAGTGTTTGTTTTGCCTTTGGGACGACTGTGGGATTTGTCTCCATCAAGGAAAAATCCATTTGCTTGTTGGCTGCTATTCTTTCCTGTATTTGATATATCTCCATTCTGACACAGAAAGTAAAGCTGAACGTCTTATGAAAAATATCTACTTTAGGTCTTCCTGATTGCGAGGACAAATCTGTGCAAATTCATGGATGTGCATAGACTTAAGAGAAAAAAGAAGAATTGTGTCTTTAAAAAAGTTATGATTCAGTTAATTTTCTGATGTTTACTAATGTACATACTTTATAATCAATGTCAATGCATACATTTGAATACAAAATCCTAATCACAGTGTAAACGGTTACCTTCACATATACTGACTACAAGCCACTCTGGCTATTCTGTACGGTAACTAAACGACTGCAAATGTTGTAATATACTCTACAGAAGCTTTAGTAACTGCTGTCTAACATTTCTGGGCTAAACAAAATAAAATGAAGAAGCTGTGTTGATATAACTTCAATTTGTCTATTATACGGTGTTCAGTAATCGTTGTTTAATGTTTATGAAGATCTGTTCATTGTGTTCTAGGAAAACATGAGCTAATCTACCGAGGCTTTGTAAACAAAAGTGCCTGTCATTTAAACCTTTATAGCCAGTGTATATGCATACATATGTATACATACCACACACAAACACACACACACACGAAAAAAATATCGCGGTAGGCTTAAATCTAGAAAAGAAACCGCGAAAAACCCCTCTTCTTCAAAATGATCGGTTGTCGCGGAATGTACAGGCCATAATTGGCGGCGAAATTAAATGCCATTGTATCACGGGCCAAGAGGAGGTAACCGCAACGGGGTTTCCCGGCATTTTTGCAGCTGTGGCGCGCCGGCGGCCTGTCTGGAGGCTGTCGCGGCCCACTCGCTCTTTTCGGTTACTCTTGCACCTTCTCATTGGCTGTCGGAGATTTGATTTGATTTTGAAAAAAAAATAATTAACAGGTAGTGAGAGAGAGAGAGAGAGAGAGAGAGAGAGAGAGAGAGAGAGAGAGAGAGAGAGAGAGAGAGAGAGAGAGAGAGAGAGAGAGAGAGAGAGAGAGAGAGAGACCCAGGAGAGAAGGAGAGATCCAGGAGAGAAGGAGAGACCCAGGAGAGAAGGAGAGAGAGTGTGTGTGAGTGAGTGAGAGAGAGAGAGAGGAGGAGAGAGAGAGAGAGAGAGAGAAGAGAGGAGAGAGAGAGAGGAAGAGAGAGAGAGAGAGAGAGAGAGAGAGAGAAGAGAGAGATACAGACAATGGATAACTAAAACACATACACACACACGTCTAAAAACTTCCAAAGTATCAGATAACGTTATTGTAATACATAATATCTAGAACACAATTCAATTTTGAATCATGATCTCAGTTATGTAATGCAGTATTAATTACATGGGAAAATACAATGGTGATTATATCAATTTAGCAGAGAAATATAACGAAGATTCCGCAAGAAATCCTATCATTCGCTACACATTACGAACGTGAAAAAACTAGTATTGCAAGCAATAACTGTTTTCATTTACTTGTAACGAAATGGAATAAGAACAAAAAACGGGGTATTTCAGTATCCATTGCGACATGAAAAAATGGTAATAAAGTAGTCTTTTAGCTGACCACTTTCTCGTAACGACTATTAGAAACCTTAAATGTTGTCTGTGTGTTATGTTCTTTCTAGAAACTATATTATCCGATGATGAAAGCGCCCTTAGTGAACTAGAGAAGGGTTTAGGTTATGGACCGCAATGATACAATAAGATATATTGGCTACCAAAGCAAAGTCATTAATACGATACCCTGATAGTCAAGAGCTTATTACCTGC